GTGGTCGAGACACGTCGAGTCATGACCCTTGCAATGCCAGATCACTGCAAACCGCATCGTGATTCGCATGACATTGGCTTAGGCACCTTGAAAGGCTACGAGGCTGCTGCAACCCCAGCTAAAACAGAGCAGCTGTTTCACTACATCCCGCGTCCTGTCGAAAGCAGTTTCCAGCACACACGAGGCAGGAACTTCCCGCGAGGTGGTGGATGCCAGTAGCCAAGATGTCAGTATCGGGCAGGAGGACTGATGTCTGATTCGGGGATTTCGGAGCTCTACGAAATCAGTGTGCCATGGTCGCCCTGCGTTAGCCCAGCTTCTCTCGTTGAGACGTCTGCAGGCGATGATAGCTTCCTTTCCAGGCAGCCACTTGCTCACCGAGGCCGGTCTTCCCGACATCTGAAGCGCCTAGTGATCGGAACTCCATCTAACATGACTTAGCACAACATAACATACTAGAGTGAAAAACGCTGCCTCGACATGGTAATTTGAGAGCAGGGCCATGCCTTTGAGACTGTTGCTCACTCAGGCACCGGCCTTCAGCCAGGCCCTGGTCAAAGCTGCGGAGGCCTGACACAACTCAGTCCAGAGAGGCAAAAAGCGGCACAGCAACAAACATATGTCAGATGCCCTCAGAGAGCAAGCGTCAGCGAGCAAGCGCCGCAGGAAATCGATTTGGCGCGCTTCAACCAGGCAGTGAAGCCGGGACCCTGCCATGCCTGGGCAATTCTTGAGGAAAGATAGATACTGACTTATGGGATCCTGTAACACCTATAGAACAAAGGGGAGCCGCTTCATTGCAAGAGCACCGGACAAAAATGATGGGTACGACATGTCTTAGGTCCACGCTGGGCTACTTCGGTGGCAGTGCTGCCGGTGGGGCGGCCAATGCGCCCAGACCTAAGCACTGAAGAGACTGGTAAGTAGGATATTGCTTGGGCAGTCCTCTGCCTGTTTTTTGTTGCAAGATGAGATTGAGGTGGAATCTGCCAGTGTGCGTTTCGGTTTATCTGCCCATGTTATGAACGGTGGTGTGTAGTCCATGTAGATGGACACTTTTCCGCTTGCTAAGGCGTGGATCAGTGATTGTCTCGTGCCCTGCCACCGTCGCAGACCCTGTGGGGATCACGTTTATTTATCGCAACTGTCTGGCAGGATAAGTCTTCCTCTATTATATCCCGACACTGCCGTGCCCGCATGTGCGCTGACATTCATGCTCGACTTGGTTTCCAGCAATAGCCGGTAACTTCACCTCAGTGAGCACGGCTATGACCGAGGTCACGGAGGAGTTAACGGGCCGCAAGGCAGCCGGTGTGCAATTCCAGGTTAATCATGCAGAAGGCGACCGTACATAGGCCAACTGCGCGGACTCTAAGCCGTAGGCTGCAGCAGTGCCCCTGATTCCGAGTTGCACCGTGTTGGTGTTGTCGGGAAGGTGCCGTTCACCGCGCCGACGGTTGAAGAAGTTGCAGGGTTCTGAGATCCGGAAGAATACGAGGATTACACGGTAGTGCAGTGCTACAAACACGAACAGGTTATTACTTCTACCGTTGTTGTCGTCTTCTTGCTTTTGTGATACGCCGTGACGACGTATCTACCGGCGGCATGTTCTCAGAACGACAACTGCCTCACTGGACCGGTGCTGCAAGAAACATTTTTTGAATTCAGTGGTAGCGCCGCGGTGGACACTGCACACAGAGGCGCACGACCACGTTGCTTCAGCCCTTTCTGCAAGTCACAACAGCTCAGCCAGTCAAGGACTAATCGGTTGACCTGAAAACTGAGAGAAGCTCAAAACGCAACGGACGGCGTCCGTCCGATTGTGACGATCAGCTCGCAGTTTGTTGCCTAACCCCGCTCCACAGGGCAAAGTCTGAATTGGAGTCCGCCGCTAGCAGCCTCAGCATTTCGAAGCTCAAGCAGAAAAAGCTACAGCTACGGCCAGTTTTGTGAAGTGCACCGAGGAATCAGTTCTGCGCAACATCGATGAACTCGACGAAAGCGAGGCTGGGCAAAATGGGGACACAGCTGCTTATGGATTGCGCTTGAGGTGCGAAGGTGACTATGGGCTGTTGCCGATCCCTGTCTGCCTTGGCAGCCATCACAACGTAGCACAACTATCCCGCGGTGCTGCGCCTGTGAGGCACCCCGAACCCTAAACGGCGCTAGACCCTAAACCGTCGCAGCAGGTAGCAGAGAGGCGGGTGTCAGCTCCTGCTCGGCGCTTGAAATGCGATGAAGTTTCTCTGTGGGTTTTCCAGCCGACCTTGGGAACACAGAGCTTCAGTGTCGTGTGGCCGAGTGGCTTTGCTCAGGCCTCCCTTGCTCCGGCTGCAAGTAGCTTAGTCCATGTTTGCGCTTCCTCATGTCAACATGCGATCGAGTCTGTCAGCAATTCCTGCGCCGCAGCTGAGTTGTCGACTGCAATCGGCTGTATCAAGTGTTCTCGACTTGTCTTTGCTCTGACCGCTTTACTGTGGACAGTCGGCACTTGAGCTCCACGTCGCGACAATAACGGCCTCATCATGTAGATGCAGGGCTGCTGATCGCCTGCTCGTGTCGCTTCGTTCAGTATCAACACCAATCTTGTTGCCAGGAGTTGTGCGAGGTTCACATCAGTACTGCGCACTGTCTTGACACGAGACACACTTCATGAGGTTGGAGAGAAGCTTCCGGAGCCTCTGGAAGTCCTCCGGGCAGTGGGATTCTCAATGGATCTTCATTGTACAGCTTTGAGATTTGTTGTTCGTGTTGTTACTAATTTCTGATCTTTGGTGGCTATGGTGGCGATGGCAACCATCGACATCATCATCTTCCTGCTCTGGAAGAACGTCATGTTCACACTAGCGTTCACCCTGAACAAGATGGTGATGATGCATCGATTCGTGATCCCAACATGTACCCTAATCATGATTTCTGGATGTAGTGAAAGCAGAGCTTGCACTTACCCAAGGCATCCAGCAAAGAGGCTACGACACTTCGTCTTGCAAATGGGCTTGTTGCTGGGCACCCGGTGCCTATGGTAGAAAGTTTCAGAAGGCTGGGTCGTCGGATCATGCGGCACAAATCCAACCAGACAGCATGCTTCTGGAAGGTGGTCAGGCAACGGCCCCTTGCTTAATCGGAAAGTCGTGTTGAACAAGCGAAGAAGGAAGCGGCTTTTCAGGTGGGGAACACTTCGAGGGATCTTTGGAAATGGTCGAGAGTTTCCAGTTTAGTTGATGCAGTGCTGTGAATACATTTCCAGGACCGGAGAGCTTTATACACAGGCAGGAGAAGCAAGACACATTTGTTGGTCGGAACTTGTCATCGAGCTGGTAGTAGGCTGGATATGTCAGCAGACTAGAACGCCAACATGCACATGTGATACAGAAAACAGGATGTCACGGCTCCTAGCGCACCCATATATGCCGAATCTTCGTCCTGCGGCACAAGTGTGCGAACATACCAGCAGATCCACAGAGACATATTCCACTAAGATGCAGGCGCACCTGTGCTGTATGCGACCAAGGACGATGGTGCAACGTGCTTTACCCAACGCCCCGCAGACAGCTGACTTAATATATAATACCATGCCAGCGTAGATCCCTAAACTATGACAGAGCACCACTACGACCGTGACGACTGCAGCAACCATGGGACCGCCAGGCCGCCAAAAACACAGGTACCACCAGGAGACCAGCAAGACGTTTCGGGACGCCGCGACGAGACCACCATGACATGGCCAGAATGCTTTGCCTTTAACTACTGTCGAGATTCAGGAGCACGCTTAAGATGCTTGCTTTGCAGAGGACGGGCAAAATGCAATCCCCCGATTCAAAGCTGTCGAGGCCAAAAGATGGCCTATGCATAACTTGGGAATTTGCAATGAATCCGTCTCTCCAAAATGCTTTTCCCCAAACACTGGCGGGATTGAAAGCTTGGCGGTCTATGGATTGCATGGAATTTTCCAAGGACTTGGGCTCTTCGGGGCGACGCGGTTGCACGGATCCGGCGTAAATCATAGGGTGTGAGCACGGAAAATGCAACGCATCACAGCGGCAGCCTTGTCACTGTGATTGTTTTTTCGCGCCTGCCGCGTTAATTGCAACGCACGCAGGAAGACCTTGGTGATGCCGTAGTGTTTACCACACTGCTGGGGGGATCAGTATCAGTAAATAATACAGTATAACAAAGTACAGTACAACATTATCATGGATTTTTCAACCAGATAATAACCGATGTTACGAAATCGAATGTACAATCTACTGATAAAGGTTTACAATGTATCGATGTACAACTTTAATGTATCGTGCTGCATCATTCATATTTCATCCTTAACATTATTATACACTGAGTTTATGTATCTAGTCGCAACCAGGTCAGGCTGCTGGTTATGCCCGCCAGCCCAAGCTCGGGACCAGCTCGTGGCGGGAGTGGGCCCCAGATGTACTTTCTGTAGTGTAAGTCCTAATTGCTTAGGACCTTAGGATCCCCACCGTCATCTGTCCCCATAAAGGGGAGATGGGTGTAAAAATCATTGGGTTGCATAATGAGAAACTTAGTTGTCCGATTGCTCAGCCTGCTAAGATTGTAATGAAGCGGCACATCCGAGGAGACCAAAGTACCAAAAGCCAGAAAAGGTTTAATCCTGGTGCTACAAATCATATATTCGAGCGGCCCATACAGTACTCTAAGCAAGACCGTATATGTCCACTTTTGTATGAAAAGTGCGATGTTTCGCGCACTGGGGTTGTGCAGTTGTGCAGACATGGCTGCGAATATATGGCCTTCTGCGATGAAATCGAGCACCATTCTGCACGATCCAAGTCTCCGCCTGACGGTGCCGGGCGGCCGCGCATCTGATGAGATTGCGGGACGTTGGGGACTCAGCATGGCCTGCAACGAAGAAATGAGATTGCTGAGTTGCAGGGTTAAGCGATTTTGAATCTTTGATGTTTTCAACGCATCTCGTCGTTTGCATCACTAGCAGAAGACACTTTGCATACCTCGCCCGAGGCATGGGAGCTTCGCGTGCAATGCTGCATGCTTTAGACAGTCCGGATCTCGAGAAGATGTTCTTGAGCGTTTGTTGTTTCGACTTGCTGTTTCTTACTCTGCAGACTGCGCTGTGGGCGAATGGAGCCAAGAAGAGGCAGCTATTTCGTTTGCGACTGAATATGGGTGCGGGGAAAGTGCTGGCGAAGTGAGCCGTCAGGTTCAGCTCTTTCGTGCTTTGAACTCCGTGCAGACCGATTTCAAAGCTGGAACTGACGCTTTGGAGGAAGCATCGGGAGGGGCTGCAGCACGCGAACATGTCACCCAACCGCCCATGGGCCCCTACCCTGCCCTTCAGATTGATATTTGCAGACCACATGTCGTGCGTTCATCTATCCTCGCTCCCCTTTCGGCACCTCTTTGGTTGCAGCTCGACATCTTCTTCCCTCCGACGGCTGCGTCTTGCCGAGCAGCGACCGGTCCTTAGAAGATGCCCAGCAGATTCGGAACGGAGTCTATACAAGTCTTGCTTTCGGACATCGCACGGAAGTGTTCAGAGCCCTCTGAGACTCTGAGGCTAGAGTGGCTGCACTGGGCACTGAAAGAGCCCCAGCCACGTTCTCAGAGACCCGTTGTGTAAGCGTGAGAGCATGACATGCAGAAACTGCAAGTGAAGAGGATATCGGAAAACAGCGGGCGAAATCAGGAAAGCAAGTTCGGAAACCAAGGAGGGCGATGTCGGAAAACAGCCGGACAGAATCAAAGAGTCAGAATCAGAAAACAACACAGACGAGATCAGAAAACAGAACAGAATCGGACAACAAAAACCAGAAAACAACACAAACAAACTCAGAAAGCAGGAGAGAGACAATCAAAAAAATGGGCTTAACCACCGCTCTGATTTGCCCACAAACCGGGAGGTGAAGGAAGGCCGCGCGCTCCTTTCACCTCTATCTTTTGGCCGCAAATCGAGAGGTGAAGGAAGGCCGCGGTCCTTTCACCCCGCGGTTTTGGCCAGAAACCGTTGGTGAAGGAGGGCCACGGTCCCTTCACCCCGTTTTGCCCACAAATCGGCAGGTGAAGGAAGGCCGCGGTCCTTTCACCCCTCAGTTTGGGCCACACCCTATTGGTTCCTTTCGGAGCCTTGAGCCTCGTCTACTCCAACTTCGTCTCCTTTCGGATTTTGCCACCGGGGCCTTTCGCTTCTGGCTCAGAGGAGCTCCGTGCCTGTTGCGCATCAACAGGCTTCAGTGCCCCGGCACTACCGGCCCTTCGCACTGTTGCGCCCTTCACGGCAGATGGCCCTGCCCACCCTGTGTCAGGGAATGTGCCTTGCTCGGAGCTTCCCTCTGCTTTTACCCTTTAATTACTGCATGTCACGTAGGCTGCATCCGGCTTGGATACCGTGCCTTGAAAGTCGAAAGTCGATGTGTGTGTGTGTGTGAGTGAGTGAGTGAGTGAGTGAGTGAGTGAGTGAGTGAGTGGTAGATATCGAGAAGCCCACGAGTAAAAGATTCAATATAGATACTGTTTGTGGCAATAAGATGGCGGCGGAGTGTGCCACATGACGATCCAGAGAGCCTGTGGGGAGGTTGATCGTGGCTGCGAGCACAACAAGGGATGTCAGATTCATGTATTGGCATGGATTGCCTGAGCAACTTTGCGAGATTTTGTGCGTTGAAGCGTCTGGACAGTGTGGAACATGCCACAATGCTAGCAGGTTCAATCTACAAGGCTTCGCAGATGCACAGTTGCGGATGAAAGGTGGGCTTCTGGGAGTGCAGTATCGGAAGCTGATGCAGACTTTCCTGCGAACAAGCCTAGGGATTCTGCGACCTTGCCCTCAATCCAGTTGAGTTGTAAACACAGATGCCAGGCGACACCACATTCCGGGAAAAGTCCTTGGAGGGCGCTTCGCGCCAGGCCTTTCGTGGGAGACTGGATGCGGCACTCACTGCCACATGACCCGGAAAAACGTACGCGTAGTAGTAGGAACTACCTTGCTTCAATGATGTAGCGCACATGACAAGGTCCAGAGAAACTGTTTTGACCAATTGTGCTGCGCTTTGTACTTGGAGGTGCTTGACGGTGCTTGATGTTGCTGACACTCTCTCCGCTGCAGAGGCTCTCCTCGAGCGCATGTATCCTTCACATCGGTGGTTCCGGGCCTTGGTGTGCATGCATTGAATTTCAGACTGTTTCTGCAGCAAGTCGCCGCTCTTTGGTGATTTGCATCGAGGCTGGATGAGGCAGCGATGCTGCAGGTGAATCAGTTTGCGGCCCCAAATGCTTCTTGCAGAGTTTGCTGCATCCGCAGTTTACGGCACTGTAGCACTGGCCACGGTGCATCAGCACAGGTTGACATTTCACTCGTCAAGCTTTTCAGGCTTACCTTGGGCCTGATGAAGAAGGCCGCACAGGAACAGCTTGGCTCGGTCCAGGGCTGACTTTCATGTCTTGCTCGCCCAGTACAGTACTCAAACACCTAGGACTTGCTGAGTACCGTAGCGCATGCAGTGAAGCTTCATGTTTCCCAGGTGGCTGGCCTGGAACTGGACCTGGTTGTGTGTATCCCTTCCCATGCAAGTGGGGGCTGCCCAGTGCGAAGTAGAGTCATTTGTCCAGTTCAAGTAAACTGCTCCCTGACACTTCAGAAATGTTGCGGCTCGTGGTGCGTTTCGCATCCAATCTTTGTCTATCTATCGTTCGGCGTAAGGTCTCCTGCCTTCATTCTGGCAGTCCGCAAGGTGCAGCAAGTGGCCTCATGCACGAGGAGTCTTTCGAAGAAGCCTCCGATGCACCGGTCGAAGAAGAAGAGGCAGGACCCAGCCAAGCTAAAATCAATTTCGGCGTACTGTTTTGACATGCTAGTTCGCGAAGATGTCGTCCATCTTTGCATGGGCCTGGTTACGAATAACCATTTGTAGAAGCGAGCTGCCGAAGATTTTCCGGAGACCTTTCGATACACAAAACTATGGAGGCTTCTCGAAGCCACATGCTTTGGCATGTTGAGATGCGACTAGTTGCGCACTGCTGATGCTTGCCATGTGTTGGCCGAGCCTGAGGCCATTGCAGAAATGAGAAAGATGCTGGAGCGGGAGGCCGTGCGGATCATTGTCGGAGCAGACTCGGAGGATGATGGGTTGGGGAGCAGGTAGTTTTCTTATATTCATTATGTTTTAATCAAGCTACAAGTGGGACTCGCTCGTCTTAGGCACTATCTTGTTTTGTAGCAAACCAAGTGTCTTGTGAGAGGACTTGACATGGGAGCCACCGTGCAAATTTAGCCGCATCATTACGTCCTGAACACACGCCGGCCAGAAGCCACGCGGGCTTGTCTGTCTTTTTGCTGATGCAGGCTGTTGGCCGGGGGTGCCGATATGGGGCTGGATGTATCTTCTTGACCCTACGCAGCACAGGGCCTCGGTGGCTTAATTTGGCTAAAGCTGTTGTATCAACGAACATGTGAAACAAGCGGGTTCAGTCACTGCGTCGAACACCGACCTGCTATCCTGAAATAACCCATTCTAAAGCATCAAAAGCGAAGCTGTGTCAGCGTCAGCACAACTCTTCGATCAGGTTTGCCGATGCTTAGGGTCGCTTCCGAGCAGTGCGGGCGACCAGGAGGCTTTGATTTGCTGTAGGAGGGCTCTTCCTGTGTAACCGTTCAGTCTTTGCAAACGCGAGATGAATAATTCAAGGATGGTAACTGGTAGCCGACTCTATTGGAACAACACAGACTGCCGGTGAATCCGGGGCTCAGCCTTGGAAGTCAGCTTTCGGAGACCATCCGACAAACGCTGGCACGGGGCAGGCCTTCCAAGCCCCGACTCCATCCGCCAGCAGCATCTTGGTCCTGACAAAGAGAGTGCTATACAGTTACTTGGTGATGTGTAGTCATCGAGTTTTCTCACCGTCCGAGGTCGAGGGGCTGAGCTGCGAGCCCAGGGCCCAGTCCGATGAGACCGCTAGCTGCGAAGCCTTGATGCAGGATCTCGCCTTAAAGCACCATGCAAACCCGACCCTGCAAACCGAGGTCCATTTGCCTGACAAGGAGGCTCGGGCCATGGTCATGGTTGGCGGGATCCTCAGATTCTCATGCATGATTTCTCTACAATTTTCAACTGTCAGGGGGTTCCGCACACCGAGTCACTGTCACGACCGCTCCCTCCCATCTCACTTCGTCCCTCTCCAACGCTTGTTGAGATTTTCGGCAAAGTACACTCTGTCGTCTGTACGTCTTCAGTGAGTTGAGGTGGGACCGCACCTGGATACTGGGGACGTGCTGCGCCTAGCTTTTCAGGAGCTATTCCGCGACACAGCAGGAAGCCTTCCAGCAGGGAACAAAGCCAAGGCTAAGGCCCTGCTGCCTTTGTAAACGTGGCTCGAGGATTTTTCTGCGGGCCATCACCTGCTCTCACAAGCCTCCAGGCTCCTGGGCATCGAGTCCTGCAAAACTCCTACAGTCCTGCAATGGCGCTCGGAGAAGATTGCTCGGGATTCCTCGAGGTCACTACCGAGAGTCCTGTTGCTGAGCCTCCCACGATGGGTAAGAGCCGGCACGGACCAATGGTTTGTGGTGTCGGAAGTTTGCTGGTCGTGGGAGTGGTCTTCATGGTCTCGACGAGTGTCCCTCGGCTTGCGACTGGTGGCAACCAACGGAGCTTGTCGGATGCGATGGCACCTCAACTTGCCAGCACTGGATGCTGCCGATTCGCCAAGGAGTTCGAAGATGCCGATTGGTACAATCCGCAGACCCGGGCAGACTTCATGGCTAACGTGATGCGCGTCGAGCGCCGTTTCTTTGGAGAAGCAGCAGCACTTGCTTTCGATCCCGACACTGGCATGACTTACGACGGCGTTGGCCTGGACTACCAGACTGGTGATGTCCAGCATGAAACTCTTCGAACGTTCTCGGCACCATCCAAAGAGGCTCTGCATTTGAGCCTCCTGGCTTTGGCCCTTCAGCCAGCCGACGACGTGCCAGCGGAGCTGGCCACGGTGTTGCCTCTGCTTTATAGCTCTGATGAGGCACTCGACATCCTGGAGAAGAAAGCCAGAACCATGGAGGACTTTGATGCACGCTTCCCGGGCTTCGGGGGCTTCATGCCCTGGTTCTGTTCGCGTGGCATCAATGAAGCCGGGTACTGCAAGACCCTTACAGAGCCTGGAGCAAGGATGACGCCAGTGTCTGGCTGGGAGAAGAGACTCCCTGGCCTGGATAACGGCCAGCTTGCCTTTGGCACTGTTGCGGTGGTGCATGCTCTGAAGCGCCGTGCTACGCAGGAAGGAGCCTCCAGTCGCTTTGCTCAACTGGCCCGGCGCTGGGAGGCTCGCCTGGAGCGCATGAAGGCATCCGTTGTTAGCTTGTTCTACAACGGGGCCGGCTTGGTGCGCATGGTCAGTGAGCTCGACAACATCACAGTGGATGTTGCAAAGAACGCTTCCAATGCTCACAACGAAAACGGTCTGTTTCTTTGGGACGCTTTCGAAGGAGAGATGATTGTTCTCTTCATGGACATTTTCGGCAACTGGACAAAGTATCCAAACAATGGTGAGGAGGACAGGAAGATGATGTGGACGATCAAAGCAGAACATGTCGAGCCTGTTGTGTATACAGCCGCCGACAACACGAAGATGGTCCTGCAAAAAGGGTATTGGTTCTCCGCACATGAACAGTGGAAGACCTTGCAGCTCCCATACATGGACATCCCGCTGGTCCGGCACCTGTTTGCAAACGGTGAGTTCGCGCGCTTGGAGAATTCAGTGCAACAGGAGCTGCCTGGGTTAATGGCTTCAGTCAATGCACCCAATGGTGTGCAGTGTGACGCTCATCCCTACTGTAGTGCTGTGGGAATACAGGCATTGGCAGAGGAACCCGTTTTCAGTTTCAAGGAGGACACGGTCCTTACCCCCTATGCCGCTTTTCCATCGATCCTTGTGGATTCAGCAGCTGGTCTCGCGTGGTACAACCACATGCTGGCCATGCCCCGGGTGCAAACACCGGTTGGCAGCATAGAGTCCTTTACAGACACCGGAAAAGCCGTTGCACCCATGGCGACCTGGGATGCCAAAGCTACCACCATCTTAGCCATGTTGGGCGGCACCGGGCCTCTGCTGCGCAATTACATGCAGGAGCAGGGAGTTTATGGCGTCTTCGAAGATCGTGTGAAATCCATGTACGGCCCAGTCTTCGAGCCGGTCATTGCAGCCGTGATGCCAAACAAGGCTTCAATCGACAAGCACATAGCACAGCTTCCAAAGCTGCCGCTGCCGGCACCCCATCCCACTCGCAAGGATTCCTTGCCGGAGGACTTTCCGAGCTGCCGCTGCCCTGCAGACGAGCGGACTCCAGGTTTCCTGCAACCGAACAATCCTTGAGGTGAGCATCCCGCGACCAACATCCTCAGGACTTCGAGCTCAATGGTGATGTGAGGCTGTGCCGCTCTGGGTCTTTCAACTTGCCAGCAGTGTAATCAAACGACACGCCAAGCCAAACGGCTAAGTTTTGAGGCACCCAGCAGCACTACTGCACAGCTCCTGAGTACCTTGTACATGCTTAGAGTACCTTGTACATGCTTAGACTTGGACGATTTTGTCTTTGATTTTGTATTGCTGACTCTCTGGTCCCTCATGGCCCAGACAGTCTGTATAGAGGTGGTTGTAGCGCGCTGCTTACCCGTGCTGGCGCGCCACAGCTTCTTCTTTTGAGCAGCCCTTGTGGCTCCACCTGCTGCACGCTCAACAGCAAAGTGCAGAGCATAATCTGCTTTGAAGGCGCTGCTTTAGAAACTACAGCGGCGTGCGAATTCAATCTGCGGATTTGCAAATTGTGCAATTCCTTTGGTCCGAGCTTCAATTGCTGGTCTTGACTTCTCAAAATGACAGAAGAGCACTTAAATGACACGCTAAGCCACAAATTAAGTGTGAAGGCACCCAGCAGCACTAATTCGCCAGCTTTGGCTGTACTCCTGAGTACATTGTACATGCCTAGAACTTGGACGATTTTGTCTTTGATTTGTACTGCTGACTCTCTGGTCCCTGGTGGCCCAGACAGTCTGTATAGAGGTGGTTGTAGCGCGCTGCTTACCCGTGCCGGCGCGCCACAGCTTCTTCTTTTGAGCAGCCCTTGTGGCTCCACCTGCTACACGCTCAACAGCAAAGTGCAGAGCATAATCTGCTTTGAAGGCGCTGCTTTAGAAACTACAGCAGCGTTCGAGTTTAATCTGCGGAATTGCAAACTGTGCAATTCCTTCGGTCTTGCCATGTGCCATTTGAACAGACTGTTTTCCATAGCGCTAGTCCTTCAGTGGAACAACATGTCGGGAGCTTCACCTACCATGTCCGAGCTGTGAGTTTCGAGTTTCTCAGCAATACTTTGCAGGCAAAACTGTCATTGACGAGTAACTCTGTTCAAGAAAGACTTGGCAAAGATCTGCATAATGACAGGTGGAGACGAGACTTGGCAGAGGACAGCTAGGTCCTCCGCGTGTGGCAGTTGCAATTGTGCAGTAGCTTCAGATCTGGCTACGAAGCCTCTGTTAGACTTGTTGAGTATCCGGCATGCTTCCCTAAGGAGAGCCGCCATCTAAGTACAAGCGAAAGTCGTAAGCTGAACGTGACATTCATGGAAGGGAGTTCGGGGCGGCAGTCTGCACAGCATGAATATAGCGTTCTCAATATACTGTCCTAGAAATTTCACATTCTCCCCTTGGAAAACCGATCCGTCGTAACGCCGTACATGCTTCTGTGGCTTCGCCCTTCAAGTATCTTCAAGTCTTCATGCCTGGTTTACGATGTCCGGCAGGTACAAAGGCTTTTCTTGGGGGCCTCGAGCAGAGCAGCCATGTCCTTGATTGACTTCAAGAGTTGAGGGGAGTGTAGGCCCTTGCAGCAGGTTTCCGCAAGAACACCAGCTGCCATTTCTTACAGCTTGCAATGCACGGTGTCCACTTACAGCTTGCAGCGCTGGCGCTGAGGGATCCATTGTACCCAGCTCGGGCGGGTCACCCAGTCCGGAGACGTCTGCGAGTAGTCATACTGACACGCTCTACTGGTAGCAGCCGCCCTGCCGCGGAAGCAAAGCCTTAGACTCGGACAGGCAGACTCCTCAAAGCTTTGAGCCAGACACGACCGGGAGGGACATCAGCTGCGTGTCTTGACATTAAGTTTAAGGCCACCCAGCTCATGATGGAGTGCCGAGCTCTCAGTTCTATATTCATGGCGTTTTACTCGTCAAAAGATTTGTAACTTGACTGTCCATCCCCGCCCCGCAGTAGGCTACGGTTGCTGGCTGAATGGATTAGGTCATGGGGGGATCCAGGGTGGTTAAATTTAGATTTTTGGATCCTAGGAACAGTTGCTGGGCGGAGGAGTGCCTTCGCGAAGCTGCATATATCGGGCCTGCGCAAGGCTATCTGCGGAATACAGTAGGTGCTCGCAGCTTCGGGTACAATGTGAGCTGAAACATAGCTTCCACTACGTTCCCAAACCCTCGTACTGTAGGCGCCGTCAATGACAAAATACTGCAGGGGTCGGAAATCTAGAACGTTCTCCAAAGCTTGGCAATTCTCCTGTTCGGCACGTCGGCGGACATTTTGTGTGCGAGCAGCATTGCATCGCAATCCTGTAGATGCTCGCTCGAAGCATCTCGAAGCCAAGACTCCGAAGTGCAATGCTTGTTGCATGTCAAAGACCTGTGAACACAATTGATAAAGGCTTGAATGCCAGACTTCTGGGACGGGCCCAGTGCTCAGCCATCGTATTGCAGTTCGAGGCTAGTCGAGGTTCCTGTTCACTCCCATCCAGTATATGCTGTGAAGTCCACAAGCGCTCCATGTGGAGAGGTTGCCTGTATGGTGTGCAACTGATTAAGGTGCGAGATCAGCTGAGCTTGACATACAACTGCGAGGCATTGCATGTTCTGACATGCTCTAGGTAGGTCAGACACTACTCGCGTCTTTCCAAAACATCTTTGCTCAGCGCTGCCTGCATTTAGGAATGTTTGCACACGTGCCTCGAACTGCCTTGTCTTGGCATAGCATAAATGTCGTGCCAGATTGAGCTCACCATGTTCGAGGGCTTCGATGCTGGACACTTTCTGTGCAAGGCTCCGGTGGTGTGTTTATGGCAAACCGAGGTCACTAGAGCCGCTAGAGTCGGTAGAGGTATATAATTCACCTGTCGATCATGTGGAGCACTTCGGAGTTTATGGAGATCACTGACCCCACCTTGTCGGCGGAAGAGTTCTCTAAGCAAGACTGCTCGCTGGTAAAGGTGTTAAGGGCATGGGCATGGAGCAGATTGCTACTTCTTCAGGAGGTCTGCCATGTCTGAGCCAGTAGGAACCGTCCCTATGAAACAACACCTATCTTGCCCCCGGCAAGTAGCCAAACCTGGATCCAAGCCCTTGCTCATGGCTTGGCAGGTTTTTACATTCCCTCAGACTGTGGCCCGTGCAGCAGTCCAAACCTCAGCATGTGACACCAACATGTGCCGTCCATTGAATTTGCGGGTCATAATCGACCACGAGCTTGCGGTTCACCTGAATCTGGTTCCAGGCGGCGTCACAGAATCTCGTCTTGCTGGTCAAAGTCGTTGGAACCAGTTGGTTTGCTCGCTGCACTGCCGCTCGTTGGTAGATGCCCGGCATTGGCACACTGAATCGTTGGCGCAGATTCTAAAAAGATTGCGCCGCAGCGCCCCCATCCAAAATAAATATCGCATGTTTCGAATTCACAAAACCGCAGCACCCGAACCTAAGCCTCGCCTGCATCGTTCGAGTCGCGAGTCCAAAACCCGAACCTGCAAGCAATTGGACCGTTGAGACCCTTGCATATGGGATACGGTATGGAAGTGTCAATCGTGATACTTTCAGTGGTGCGCCACACCACATGTGTCCACTTTCCTTTTGGAAGAGCGTGCCCGAAACCCGACAATAAATCAAACAAGTCGACACTGCAGTTTCACAGCTGAGGATTTCCTTCGCGAGCCTGTGCGCCCAAGTATCTAACCCACTTGTAGAAAGATGGTACTTTTGTCCTTGTCCTAAAGGACAGTGCTCATGTTTGTTTGCAGCCGTGCTCCAGGCACACCAGCACTGACACGAAACAACATTACCCGAAGGTGATGAATGTGATCAAGGTTATACTTGTAAAGATTACTAGAAAAAAGATTTCTGGAACCAGGCAAGTCGTGTGCATCATTCGAAGGTGTAGTGAATGTGATAACTGATGTCGCTTTTTGTTGTGAAGATGCCCTTGAAGGTGTTTCTTTGTTGTAATCCCCTTCTACATTCTCCGAAGCAGTCATATTGTACTGCCAGTGATTTGTACTGAGTACAACTGTCCACAGCCACGTGAACGCGACATGGTGATAGTATTTACGATTAGAGGCTAGCAGCACCTACATGACATGTGATGATGGAGTTCGTGCCCTCGCCTTGTGTTTTGATGTTTTGAATTGTGTGATGGCAAGTAGCCCAGGTCTAGGTGCTGTACTGCAGCAGATAGCTCACCGGGGGGCACAAGTTCACAGCAATGATTTCATCCGAGCGAGCATGAGTTGCTGCGGGGTCGCTCTTACGTATAATGTCGAAAGTCAGCACATGTTGGCAAAAGTTCTTCATTTCGTGCGTGCATACGTACAAATGCCCCACCCGCCCACCCACAATCGGAGGCACTGCATCTTCTTTTGCTGTCAGTCAGGAAGCAGCAGTGCAGGTGCTTCGAAGCCAGTGGCTGAGGGGTGTCGGGAATCACCCCCATTCTGCGCGCTGTACCGAGTGAGACACCGATCCTGGATAATCGTTGCCGGATAGCTTTAACATGGAAGCATCTTGCTTGGCCAGGGATTTTGTAAAACTAAACGAGCTGCGGTGAAGGGGTGTCTGCAATGCTCTGGCTATCTCTGGCTGCAGATATCGTCGGTAGGGAGCTTGTCCCATTCTCGCGAGTTAACTGTACGGCAAGAATGCATTGGACTCACTGGACCTAAGCGTTAAGAATAGCTGCAAGCCATGATTCGCGGGCTGTTCCGGTCTGTGCCGACGCTTGCTCGCCGATCCTTTGCGGATACTGGCTACGAAGCTTCAGTTCCCTGGCTAATTGGGTATAGGATTGTTTAATGTTCTGGTGCTGCTCGGTGTGTGGAGCGTGGTTTTGCCCGGGCGATTGCCAGGAGCAGAGTTTCCACGAGCCAATGTAGGTACCATCAGCTCCGCCAGCTAATCGTTTCCAATGTTGAGATCCGGCGGGCTTGAAGCATGCTGTCAGTCAGCTTTGTTGAGCATGTCGCCTGAACAGCGAACCTCGCATTCATCAATTTCCGTCTTCTGGACATCCAGACGAGGTGGCCAGCAAGCTGACGGCAGCTTTGGGCGCCTCCAATTGTGTAGTGGAGGACAAGTCCGGAGGCTGTGGACAGTGTCTTGGCTGCGACAGCATGGAGATTCGGCATTGGCCCTGCCTAGAGCTTCTGCAACAGGTTTTTGTGCAGAGCTTCCAGTTTTGGATGTAACTTGCTTGTTCGAGCCAGGGGGCACACGAACGTCGGGCCTTGCATACATCAGGAGCTTTACCATTCTTATCGAGTCCGAAAAGTTCCGCGGGCAGACGAAGCTGAAGTGTCAGCGAATGGCACAGCTCTCAGTATGCTTCGCGCCAACAGCAGCACTTCAATCTCGTATGTCACACAGGGTCCGTATCGTTGTAGTGCTTGGCCATGCAAATTCTTCTCATCTGGGTGAAATTCCAGTAAGTAAACACGTGGTGTATAAGTGGAGCGTGCATGCCCCAGACTCCAGACTGTCGATGTTGATCGAAAGGTACAAGAAGTCATCCGTGAGGAGATCGCTCAGTGGCATGCGGTGTCAATCCAGACGAAAGTGCCGGAGTGATGCCACCAGGAGGTGAAAAGTCGAGGCACCTGTATTGCCGCACAGAATGATCGGTGTCACACCATCCATCGATCGTGGATGCGCGCTGTGAAGCTAAGTAATGGAGCCGGAGTAAATAGGTCAGTGATCGCTTCTGGTGCTTGAAGGCATCCTCCCGGAGATTCGGAATAACACACACACAGAACCAGCACAGCGCTTTGTTTGCACAGCGCGCTGGTGCCTCCGAACGCCGCGAAGGCAAGACACGCAGAGCTTTATCGAAGAAAAAGTGGCATTCCGATGCCTGATCGAATACTACTGGTAGGTCATTTTTGCCAGGGCGAGGGCCAAATCTTTTGTTGAAGGGCTGCCAACAGATGATGCTAGCTGTCCCACAAGACATTGATGTGTTGACTGGTTGCAACATCGTAACACTTGTGAAGGGCCCTGCGTTACTTCGCTGAATGTGGCGGTTGAGTGCAGCTAAACCGAGATCGCTGTCCTAGGGGCCTGGCAGCTTCAGAGCCATGGCTACTGTATTAATAGTATGAATAATACTAGTCAGAATAATTTTAATAATAATAATAATAGTAGTAATAATAATCATAATTTGTGTAGCTCACATGTCGCAAAGATGTCGTTGAAGAGTCTTTGCAAGGTCCCGGGTGGATGCCCTTCACGGACAGGGCTTTCGGCAGTGATCTCTTCAGTTTGGGCAGATCTTCGCTTGTCATCATAGGTGATGTAGGGGACGGGCGACTCAGTTTACACATGAGGAAACAGACAAGCAGGCATGCCAATTGTGTGCCTCGCATGTTCCAGCCTGACGCAGTAGTAAAGCTTCATAATCGACGTGTACTTTGATTTACTTCTTCATGGTACGAAAGAGCGCAGAGGCATCAAGAGCTCACACAGACTCGACCAGGCTTTCAAGCCGAGCCAAGCTTGCATGCTTGCTGAGAAGGACTTGGAGATTGATGCCTCGAAGAAAGCCGGCGGCCTAACCCCTCGCTCTGCACGAAACGCTGGTACCGTCCGGCTGTCCTGGATCTGCGGCTACATGGCTTTTTGACGGGTCTCTCCGCGCCTTTGAGCTGTGCATTCGCAAGGTCATGGCCTTTCGGGAAGGCCACATGCAGAGGGAAGATCGCAGTGGCTTGGGCCAACAACAGTCTGCAAATCCATTTTCTCTTTGACTACGACGTGAGCTGTTCAGGTTACTGGCTTGGCCGTATCCGACCTATCCCTGGCAGCCCAAGCGTGGAACTTGACGGTTTTGCCAGCTGCAACAATCGGATCTGCGTGTGGGAATAATTAAATGGCAACAGCTGCTGCGATGACGGCCTGCTTCTCGAGATACAACGAAATCGGAAATGAAGGTATCATCAATTTTTTGCATAGTGCACCCCATGTTCAAGCATCTGGCAGCAACTTGACCGGGAGTTTCGGAAGATCTGCGCGAAATCTGGTGACTCGTGTGGCTGGTTAACTTCCGACAAAAAGGCTGCATCTGAACCTGAACTCCACTCATTCCGTACATTGCGGCCCAAGGCTCATCTCCTGGAAACCGCTATGAGGAGGAAGCGCGGCTTCTGGATTCCCTAGGTGCCGTTGTTGCTGCAGCTTGTGCAACTTTTGCAGCGCGCGGCGGCTGATGGTTTATATATGGCCATGTCATGTGGTTCTTGGTCTACAGGTCGCTTGCCGTAGCCGTTTGGCCTCTAAGTGCATGGATGCTGGAATAGTTTTCTGACGGTTGAAGTTCACCAGCAGTAAGTTACTCAGTGAAGATCATGAAGTTACTACAGTGAAGATCATGGCTTCAGAGGATGTGGAAGCTCACAGCTGTAGCACGCCGAGGAACAGTATGAGTCTGTTTGCACCTGGGTTGACATCGCAGCGAAAGCTTTCAAACCCAGCTAGCTCCAGCTTCAGGTTCAGCCATCCCAAAAGATACAAAGACGCCACAGTGCGATGAGCCATGGTGCTGGGTGTGCTCGCAAATCATTGCTTCCCTCTTGTGCTGCTTTTGCAGAGTTCGCGGGAGCAGGAGTGGCCGGAAGATTCCTTTCACCTTCCACTTGCAACTTGCAGAAAGCAATGTCGCAGCACAGTTAATTATGGAAGACACACCAATGCTTATTCTCATGGTTCTGAACTGTGTGCAGCACTGTCGGACGTAGCTCGGTGTGTTTTGCAACACAACTCTGATGCAGGCTCGCAAGCATGCAAAGGTACCTGGCAGCAGGCATGGGTTGTTTTGTCATTGTAAGTCATTACTCCAAAGATCCAGACAGTTCCGAGTTCTACCACTAAGATTCGCAGGCGCTCACTTCGCAGCGAGCTGCTTCAGAGTTTCTTGGTGGCCTTTTTCAGTTGGAGACGTATCGCTAAAAAATAGCCTCCACCAGCCTAGCATAGCCTGGCCAAGCTGTTGCCGTACTGAAGACCGAGCCAAGCTGCTTCCGGGCTGCTGGCTGAGCTGGAGTCCCCTTGTAACTTTTTGGCGTGGGGCAACATGGGCTGCGGCGACGGTCATGTTGGCGCAGACGGAAGCTTGAACCGGCCGGCCGAGGATTAGCCTACCCACACGCTACAGATGAAGCCGTCCCACTACAGAGCAGGGAGGCCTTGCTTCACGTCGTGTCTCATGGCTGCAAAATGCCGCAAACCAACCTGTGAAGCCCGGCAGGAGTGCTGTCGTGCACGTGATTATTCGATTATGGATCCCGGATATTCATCACCGGCACGAAATCGTGCGTGCAGGCATAACTCCGCTCGCAGGCACACATGAGAAGTAAAGGCCACAGACAGCACAAAAGGTGTGCGCAGGTCAGATACTCGCACTCCCTCAAGTCCGTGCTTCGAAGGTTCACAACACAAGCCGAAACCAGCCGAAAAACAAGAGCCTGACTTCGAAAGTTACGGTACCCTACCCCTAAGCTTCTTGCAAATTCGGGCTGGGGTAGGAGTTGTTAAATATCGTTGTAGTACAGGAAGTTGTTTGCACCAGAAGGCAAGGCCAGGCCAATTGGGATGGCGGTTATGCACACACACACACACGTTTGCGCGTGCGTGTAGTGTGTGTATATAATAATATGAGATGGTGTCAAACTTATCGTTACTGTAGTTTAGTGTAGAGGGTAGTTGTTGAGCCAGAACCCCAAGATCGATAAGGGACGCGCTGAAACGATAGGGTTACTTATACTTTGGTCCCTGCAAGTGCCTTAGGCGAATTCCTCGGAAAACGATAGGGGACTTGCTAGTGTACATGTATTTGTGTATGTGTCTGTATAAGATGTTTATAGGTACATGTATTGACACATCATGCAGCTAGGCTGGGCATTCAGTGTGATTCCGAAGTTTCCCGTCGTGGCTGCACCGTTTTCCTGTGATTTCATATACGCTACACCAGTGCCCTACAAGCTGAAGGTGCCAATCGGGCCCGGCATCTACCATCTGTAAAACCAATCCCAGGTGGGCTTTGATACAAGACTACCTGGGTGAACCCCCGAAGATGCAGGCATCGGTGGTCGCAGCAGCATCCTTCAATGCTTTTGCACTTCCGCGGGAATGTTGCAAGATGATGTTGTCGCCACGGTGACCGGTACTGGCTGTTGTGCAAGTTCCGAGCAAACCACACCATCGCCAGCACCTTTTCAGGCCTTTCCCCCGTATCTGCCACAGAATCCAATGTTGGTGCTTCACAACTGTCCAAAATCGTAGGCTGTGGCAAATAGTTTGATCGTGCATCGGCCCTAGGCGACCTCCCAAGCTCATTCACAGGGCACTGTCCTTGTGGCAGTCAGTGTTTGCAGGTTGTGACCTACGAAGTTGATCCGCGGCTCGGCTGGCAGGATACTGCCTGGAATGCAAAGACGCTGAAGTTTGCAAAGCTCAGGTTCACGTGCAACCACACGGTTAAGCTTTGGGATCCTCGCTCGGGCAGGCCGCACGTCTTCCCGAGGCATCACAAAGCAAAGGCAATCTTGCAGGCACTTTTGATTCCAACAGCGCTAAACAATGCATGGCTTGTGGCCTCATGTGCCCCGCAGGGATCCAGGAGCATCTGACACTTGTTTTGTCCCTGCAATGCTGCGCGGGGCAACAAGATGTGCCCGCTTAGTCTTAGTTGGTGCATGATCGCGCCAGATGGTCTGTGCGTGTGCTACCATGCAAACGCTTCACAGATGCATGGAGCAAAGCATTCCTAACTGCTTAGTATTGATTTGGCAACAGCAGCAATATCCAAACAGATGCTCAGCAGTAATTACAGCGTCGTACAGCAGGAATCGCCATGTTACACTCGCAATTTCACTGGTGTCACACACGAGCAGCGATAACGCGAGCACTGTCTGTTAAGGACTAGAAGTCGTCATCGTCGGAAGTGGTTCGTCCTCATCGCGATGGGGGTCCAGCAAAAAGAAGTAAACGCGCGTAGTGATACCGGCTTTCTTCAGCAGCATCAGCGTCTGGAGAACCTGCACAATCCTCGCCACCACCATCACAACATGTGTTGAACGAGCGCCCGCCATGTATAGCAATAAGAGACAGTCTCTTATGCAGGTATATATGTGTGTACTTAATGTAAAGTAGTGCAATGCTATAGTGTAGTTTGACAGTCGCCACTGCTTGTCTTTGTTTGTATTCGCCTGGCTGTCTGTCTCTAAGCTAACATGTGCACGTATGTATATGCATACTTTTATTTCGCCTGTTTATAAGTGTATGCATGTGTACATGTAGGTGAAAGATGTACACGTGTAAGTCATGCATATTAACACGTATATGTACATGAAAATGACAAAATGTACAGACTTATACGAAACGGACTATACATGTACGTATGTATGTATGTATATATATATACACATCTGTATGCGTGCAAGCTTTTCAACAGCTGCAGGTGTAATGAGCAGCATTGTTTCCACAAGCCACCTGCGCGAGGGCAGCGACACGCTTCCTGACCGGCCACACGGACACGGTCCTCACAGTTGCGATGAAGGGAAACATTGTCATCAACTCAGCTGTCATGCAGGCTTTTGCTTGTCAATATGTTCATGCGTTCTCTTGGCCGCTTGTAGGAATCTGCCATTTCTTCGGTCCCTGGACCATCGCTACTGCATGCTGCAAGTAGTGAGAAGTAGCATCTACTATCGATAGTGATAGTGTCGTGAGATGTCGGGATAAACTTTGGGAAGTGCAAGCTACCTCAATATCAAACACGCCCCGCATGCATAATGTAGCTTCCATTTGTGTGCTGGGTCCTGGCCGTTTTGCATGACAGCCCTGCCGGTCACTAGTCACTAACACAGAAAACACGAGAAGCCACAGCTTTTGCAAAATTGCCGTCCACGGGACGGCAGTGCTGCACACGGTGGTCGCTTGGTCGGAAAATTTCATGATGGTCTGTCCAGCGGAGCGACGCCGGAACTGATCTGAACCATGCCACTAGACCTTAATGGTAAGACTCCAGCTGGCACAGGCCATGTACTAGGCAAGAAGGTTTCCTATGGTTTTCAAGAAGTAGTGGGCTGACAACAGAGCCCGTTTGCCTGTCTGCGCATGCTGGGCATCGAAGGGCCTGCATCCGCACTGCGAGGTCCTTACGGGATCTTACGATTGCACTGCCAGGGCCTGGGACGCCTCACGAGGCGAGGAGCAGTGGTGACCTTGGCCAGTTGGCTCATGGAAATCGCCTCCACAGGTGTATTGCTCAAGACGATCCTCTTCGACTGCTCCGTGACTGCAGTGGGTGGGACACTCAATATGAAGAAGGGCACTTACAAGTCTGTCTGACTAGCCATTGTATTCAGGCATTGAGCAGTCCACCATCATCTTGGGCGGCAGCAATGGTATGGCCGTGCTGGGCAAGATCACTGGGGACCGTACCATTGCATGGTCGTTTAGAATAGAGTCGACATGCAAGATGGGATATACCCAGCAAGCCGAAGCCAAAGGCACTCTGAGTCCAGACGCGAGGAGCAGCCCGTGCTGCCCTACGGCCTTCAGGCAGTAGAGAGGCTCAGAAAGCACAGACGGAGCAGTCTTCGGTTCACGAAAGACCTACTAGGCCTTAAACATTCAAGCACGAACCCCATCTTGGGAAGGCAGGTGCCAAGTTGATCCCGAGAGAGTGACAGGACTCAATTGCTTTGGGGCACGGCTTCACGCGGAAAGGGCTTGCTAAGCTGGGCGCCACCCCTTCATGAAGTGCTGCTCATATCTGTCTGGCCCCTGCAAGGATTGTTGGGCCAAAGTACTGTACCATCAGAATTTTCTTGAATGAGGGGGTCCTTGTGAATCGGCACATGCCTGTACCTCATGACATTCTCGCTGTGACATTCCCTAACAGCGCCAGCAGCTAAGGAAGGCCGACTGTGCAACTCGGATGCAAGGGTGACCATGATGCCCCCGCGGAAATCGTCTTACATAGATGCACTCTCCGAAGTTCACGCTTATTCAGTTGCTGCTTGTCAAAAGCCTTGTGACGTTCACACCTGCACGGCTGCACCAGTGTTTCACCGCGCAGTGCGACTGGTGCCAGACTTCCCCACCGATCATGTGGGACAGTCGGCAGGTGCGCCTGGTCGGCCATTGCAAGGGAATAAGCTCAGTTCTTCTCCACGGCTGCATGGCAGTTACAGGACCCGACATGCATGAAGGCGAGTGTGAGTTGTTGATTCTGGCCTTGTGGTTTTGCTATGTTTTGCTCGCTGACCAACGAACGTCATGCTCCTCCTTCCAGGATCCAGTGACTGCACAGCACGAATCTGGAACACGGCCACCGGGCGCGTGAAGCATGTCCTCTCCGGACACAAACGCCATCTGGTAGAATTCATTCAGGGTTCTAGTGCCGGTATGGTCCGTGGTTGTGAACTGTGCGCGGTATTTGGATGCCAGCGTGTGCTTGTTTGGACCGCGGAGTTTTGCTTTGTTCTGTAACTCCGAAGATTCTGAGGTCGAGTTGCCTCAGTGTCCATGCACCGGAACTTGCAGCTCTTGGCCGGGGGGGTTGGCAAAAACTCCAGATCTCGGTCAGTAGCTACATTACGCAGCTGTTTAAAGCAATGCCGTGGGCGAGTGGGGTGGGGGCCCAAGCATAATTTTGTATTTGTATAGTAACTTGTAGTATCAATTAGTGCCAACATATCTACTACATTGCTATTTTCCTAATTACTTACGGGAAGTACATACTTGTAGCTGCTCTGTCCAGAGGATCGCTCGTCGTTCTGTGTGCTAAGGGCTTTTTTCCTGCTTCGACAGCGAATGATTTGTGATCAATCGCGAGTGTTAGTCACAGTGGAGCTTGAGCTGAGTGAACTTGTCGCGTTGTTGCCTTGTTTTGCTTTATAAGAGCCTGGATCCACAGTCTGCCCGTGTCTGTGCCAGGCGACTGGGTCTATGGACGGTACTGCACGGCTGTGGAATTCTGAGCCGGGGCTTCGGAAAGGCTGCTTCTGGAAGGAACACATTCCCGTCTGTATAGCCTTGTCGGGTCAGCTTCAGTGATTCGTCCTGGGAGGCATGGCGCAATTGAGAGATTGTGTGAAACCGGTGGAAGTCAACGATCACGATACCTTCCTTGGAAGTTGGCCCGGCTGCCAGACTTTACTTGCAACGGATCTGCTGCAAGGTCCGGCATGCTCCTCGACATAATCAGCTTCGCAACGCTGCCAGCTTCAGGACCTGGGAAGGGTTACTGTGATCTGGAACTTGCATGCCAGTAGACAGAGGGCGTTGCTGTCCAAAGGCTTCCATGAGTCCGCAAGGTTTAGTGCTTTGCAGTGTGTCGCAATTCGAGCCTGCTCCGTGCGGTTTGATTGCTTCAATCGTAGCTCCCTTAGACGGAAGCTACTTGCGACGTTGTGCCATCAATGTGCCAATGCATGCAGTATTCTGGAGCCTGGAGAGGCTTATTTTCATGTTTTTTGACGTCGGACCCTGTGCCTTGGTTCTCAGCAGCTGCCCCTTGATACTTACAGATGATCTGCCATGGTGCCTTGGATCTTGTCCAAGAATTTCAGGTGGTGTCCTTGGCCATCGCCGGGGATTTTGTCGCTATGGGTTCGGGCCGTGGCGCCGTGCAGGCATGGGGTGCGCAGCTCGCTGTCTTGCGGTAGCTGCAGTAGCGCCTCCCGCGACCTTGAAGACCTGTGAAAGCTACATTGCTGTACCAGTTCGGGCCATGCTTGCAAGGGTTGCACGTTGCCAGGTGTGGAACCGTCGAACGAAGGAGCTTCAGGTACTTGCGAAAGGTGGCCTGGCACGATGCTCGGTTAGCCAGTCAATGTAGCTGCTTCTTGCCGAACAGCTGCCCACATTTGGCGATTGCAGATATACGTGGTCACGATGTAGTCGCCATGTCTTGTGGCGCGACCCAAATGTTCATGGTTGAGTTCGGTTCAGAATGCAGTTGCCAAGCCCACCTGACGACAATCAGAAGCCGTCGGAAGCCCTGACAAAAAGCGCTTGGGCAACTTCGAAGGCGAGTATGGACTCCTGGGCTCCAGCGCTGCGGTCGCCGTGCAAAGTCATGGCTTGGTGGTCGCCGGTTTCAAGGCCTCTGTCGGGGACTTTTGAACTTTTCTTGAGGCTTGTGGCTTCTGCTCAATAGGATACTACAATATAATATAATATAATATAATATAATATAATATAATATAATATAATATAATATAATATAATATGAAGTTTCCTGGCTCTTCAGGCTGGCCTGGCCAAGGCCTGGAACGTGAAGGAAGGAACGTCCCCATTCCTGCTGACGTCCGGCTTTCACGCGCATGTTGCAAACCCTTCTTATGCCTTGATGTTGTAGCTGCACTTTAAGCTTTAGCCGGCCCTTAACCTGCAACAAACATGGGAAGTGGTTTGCGCAGCTCCAGCAAAGTACACCCATGCAGGGTTGGGAGCTCGGACTGCTTACCACATCTTACCGCTTTCAATTTGCTTGTCTGCTGCTTTGGAAGCTTGACACACCTGGCCTTACGTTTGCAGCACTGGTGCGCATGCACTTATCTTCGATCCGGTTACAAGATGCAGTCATGTGAGCCGTGTAGTTTCTGAGTCTCTTGACGAATACGGCCCATCCGGTGCCTTCACAGTCCGAGCCGCGACAGGGTCCACGACGCCAGGCTTCCAGAGTCCCAGAGTCCCGTTGCAGTTTTTGCCGCCAGCGCGGTACATCTTCCGCCCCCAGCACGCGAAGATGTTGCTCCAGGCTCAGGCTGACATGACCCATCATGGCCCTAACGAACGTCTCATGCCTCGTCGTCCTCCCCAGAACCCTGCAGCAATTCAGCCGAGAGGGATGCAGACATCGTAGCTGTGCCACGTAGGAGGTTTTCAATAGGAGTTGTGCGAAAGGCTTTGCCACAGCCGAAGCACTTGCAGATCGGGTTTGCAAGCGACAGCGGAGCATGTCGGCAGATATCGGCCGATGAACAATGGCGTAAATCAACGGCTTCCAGAACTCGTGAAGGGATTCGGCTCGAGGGCTTCGGATGTGAGCATGGCTCCGGCGTAGATTATGGCTTACACTGCACTGTACACACATGTTGACGTTTCAAACTTGTAAAGCCTGCCTGGTGTGTGACGGCCGCTTCTTATTCGAGCACTGCGTCAAAGACATATACGTTAGCCTTCTGTCGCCCTCTTTACTCAAAGAGATTCGAAGTAGATGTGCCCATCGAGAAAACTGTAATTATGGTCCGATGCCAACCACATACATCACGGGTGTGTAGTGAACTGCATCATGCAGCCCGGGAGCCAGGCGAGCTTACTTCTCCATTCTTGCTTGCCGGCTTAACCTGTCATTGTGAAGGCAGCCTGAACGAAGCGGCATGCTGGAGAGAAACGGCCCTCAACCAGCAGGTAGGTTCTAGGTCAACACCGAGGATTGTGTTCCCCAGACTCCTCGTCTTCTTACCTGCTCGATGCAGCGGATCTATCTGTACAGAGACCGAGCGATGACTGCTTCCGAAAAGGAATGACTGCATGGGATCATGTACATGACACATCCGAACAAACTGTGAGGGTCAGTATAGCTGGATAGCAGCTTTGGCGTGCGAACTGAAGAAGGCAGCCAACTGGTAAGAAACGTTGGTAGGTGCCGATGACGTGCAGCTGGCTTGGCGGAGCTTGGGAGGCTCCGACGCCAGTTGTGGTTTGCAGTGTAGCAGCACACGAAATATCAAAGCTTTGGCGCACTACATCGCTTAGGGCTTAGAAGCCTGACGAAATGTTGCTAAGAGGGGGGAGTGTGTCAGTCGTTGCCGACCCCTTGCACACGCACGCATCGACAATCAGTCAAGCATGCACGCAAAGAGAAGGCAAGCAAGCCAGCATCCAAACAAACAACCAAGCAAACAGGCAAACAAACAAAATCAACCAATCAACAACGACAAAAACCAATCACACAGAGAAAGAAGTACAGAACGACAGATTGACAGAAAGAAACCAAGAAGGAACAACACAATGACAGAAAGACAGAATTGAAAAAAAAACAACAGGCAATAACGAAAGACAGAAATACATAAAGACGTGCACCCAACACTAGACTACACACACACACACTCACAACACACACTCAGCTTCGCGTGTTTCACCAGAGGGCTTGATGATCCCTTCATTGTCCTCACAACCGCCGGCACGCCAGACGCCCAAGCTTATTGATCTGGATGTCTGATAATATATCTTGCTGAGTATGATGTAAGGAGCTTAGATCCCCTTGCAGTCCGCACGCACTACTTGTGGACGACACGGGGTTTGAACCGAGACGGCTACTGATTTGATGGAAGAAACAATCCTGCCTAGCCCTTCCGCAGACAAGGCCAGAAGTGGCAGCGGCCTTGCACCCACACGAACTTCCTGCCGTGGTCTCACCCCGCTGTGTGTTCTTTTGCGTGGACTGCCCTGCCAGCTGTGCAGTACAGTGCATGTGGCCGAATCCATGAGCGGTTGTGTTCGCCAAGTGCTCAGCGGAATGTGCAGACACTCTGGATTTCCTGTACCTTCAGGTTGTGGAGCACAGCATGCGCCCCGGTGCAGAGCGATTAGAGTCCGCAGGCTGTCAGGCATGTGATGGTGGCAAAGTCCTACGGAACGGAGCAGAAGATGTCCCAAAGCAGGGGCTCAAACCAAAGCGGTTTGACCAGAAAGCAATGAGGCACGCAAGATTTCGAGGTCACACCAAAATGCTAGGCGCATCGACAGACGGCTTCCCGCAGCAATTCAAAGAGCAGACCCTATCGACGAGATCTAAGATTTACTAGCTTCCGGACGCAGTCACTACCGCCGTGACTGCGCGCAAAAGACTTTGGCCATGACGTGGCTGCGGCACTTCGCTTTCGCTACGGCGCTTTGCCTGCCTGTTTCTGCAGAGACTTGGACATTCGAGCCGGAGTGCGGCTTGGCTGTTTCAGACCTGACACATAAATCTGACGGCGATTTCTGTAGCAAAATGGGTCTCTTGTCAAATGGGCGTCTAGCAAGCTCGAAGCCGCACTCTGTTGCTGTGCTTCTGTGCACATAGTTGGTAACCCGTCCTTGGAAACGACCTTTAGGGGTCACCTTACAGTATTTCACCGGACTTCGCTTGTTTCTCGGCGGTTGTCTCCGCCAACTCTCTACCATAACTCTCTACCATTTTCCGTTCTTGCCAGAAACACGAAACACCCTTTGGTTCATTCTTGAATCGGGTTTCTTAAAAGTCCCTCAGCTCTTTCTTCACTCGGTACGGTTGTCAAGTGGTGACGATGCCATTGGCTTCTCGCTGCAGCCTTCCAGCTATAAGTAACCCTGCTCCGAGCTTGGGTGGGTTTAGGGTGGTGCGTCCTGAGTACTGTGTCGTGGGTGGAGCTAGGCAGTACGGGCAGCAATTGAGTCCCTTGGGGAAAAATGGTTTAGGGTTTCTGGGTTTCTCGGTTTAGAGGTTCAGGTTTTCTGGGCTTGGGGGTTTAGTTTTTCTGGGTTCAGGGTTTTTGGGTATTGGCCTCAGTACGAGTTCAAAAGCATGTTTCTGGGCTTAGGTTGCGGAATTTAAGGGGTCAGGGGGCAAAACCGCCCTTAATGGACAACGGGCTAGCAACTTCGAAGTTCTAGATTGAAAGGCACTTAGACAGCAACAACACACCGAAGCACGGATGCAGCACACACAAAATTCAGCAGCGACGATGTCCAACATGCAAGCTGCATCCGGACCCAGATTTCGGACCCGGGTTGCGGCTTAGTTCTTCGAAACGTAGGAATAATGACCCCCCCCCCCCCCTCTGTGCCCCAAGACAACCACCATTTTTGGTTCATGACCTTGATCGCATCTTCTTTGGTTCGTCTCTTCCTTCTAGGTGCCTAGGTGCCTCTCGGATCGCCAGGCCCACTTTTGCTGGATATCGGTTGCTTGGTTTGGGTCCTTAGGTTCCCTTTGTGCCTGCCTTGCTTGCAGCATCACCTGCCGTGCATAAGTTTATGATTCGGGTGCCCATTCGCCCGCAGTCCTCTGCAAGTCTTCCAAGTGAACACATGAACGGAAGTGGCCGCAAAGCCAACGTGGTTTTGGTTACTCCTGTTCTTCCTTGTCGCAAGATCTAGTCACATGACGATGGGGGGTTGCAGTGGATGGGGTTCTTGAGCCGAGAAACCGGAGAGTACTGTGGTTGACTATGTTTGCCGGTTTGACCGACCTCTTCTCCACGATGTCTTGGGCGTCTTTTTCTTGTGGCACTGAAGCGCGACGAAGGAAGTACTTATGCATAAGGCTGTGTGACAAGTACCCTGGCAAACGCTGGCACTGCACGAAAGCAATCGAGCAGCGCACAATAGCTCCTAAAGTGCAGACACTTGTCCGATCCTCGGACACCGAGGTCAGGGCGATGAATGTGAAGCTAAGCAGCAATTTCATGTCTCAACATGTTTGCGAATCTTAACTAGTGACTAGTATCATGCTTGAAGCTCTGGCTTGTTGCTTTCTGTTGCTGTTCCAGGTCAGACATCTAGGTCTCGCATCGGCTTAATTACAGTCAGGTCAAGGAGCCCCCTCGCGCAGCAGACGCTCCGACGAAATTTATAGCAGAAACTGGTGGCTGGGGTTTCAGCTACGGACCTCTGCCGACTCGCAAACCGGGCAGCTTGGATGCACCGGAAGCCCTAGTTGACCGGATTTCGGCCCGTGGCTGATGTCCTGATGGACTCGGGGTTCGGTCTCGAGCTCAAGCCAATGTGATCTCTGCAGCTTCTTTCCTGAAGCCGGCTGTGTGGCGATGGAGCCGGTTTCGTAAGTGCAGCGGCCATGAAGCTTTCAGCTGGCATGGTAAGTGTGTCCATGTGACCCGGGAAAAATACTCGTAGCCTGCCCATCGGGAAACCCCCGGCAAGCATCTGCAGCAGACTTCCATTGGTGCTTTGGCCAGGTTCATTTCCCAATGACGACATGATGACAGAGGCTATTCAAGGCCAGTGGGGTCTTGGCGGTCGAGACGACGCTTGGACTGAATGTGGACATCTGCTGGTGTCACCAGTCGCGATAGATGAATTCACGTGGATCGCCCGTGCCGAGTGCCCGGTCTCGGGATCCACGGTCACAAGGCAAGTTACGGGGGTGTGGTTGGTATGGTTGTGGTTGTGTCGAGAGCAATTGTATGGCCTCACTCAGGGCGGGAAAGTTGCAGGCACCAGCAGTGGATGAAGCAACATATGAGTGGAGCTAAGGACATAGCGATAATAGCACGAATGGGAGCCAAGATGTTGCGCTTGTACGGGAATGACCCACGGTTCGACGGCAAAAAGTTTCTGGACTACGCGAACAGATTGGGCCTGAAGGTCGTGGCTGGCATCTCAGACTACCCCTACGAGCATGGGCCCGGCAAGTGCTGGAAAAATGCAACTCGTCTGAGTACGGGGATCGGGTCTAGTGGAGGTTCCTCCGTCCAAGGCATGGCTTTGGTAGCAATGCCCATGCAGGTCCACGGATGTCTTAGCTAGGATCTACATGATCAAATGGCTTCGAAAGAATCTACCCCGGCGGATTTGCAGACCTTGCAGCTTGGGTGGGGTTCTGTCATTCAGGACCTGAACTGCTATGAAGCCATTCGCGAGTCCTATAGCGCCACGCTGGAGAACAAAAGCTTTGTGGCACATGGCAAGTATCACCCTGCCCTGGATACCCTGGCGCCAAGGCTGCAGAAAGCTTAGTAAGGGCTGGCTGGAAGGATTGCAAAAGAATTCGCAGCTCGTCGGGAGAAGAAGTTCTTAAACCAGAATTGAACACTGAGCAGCACTAGCAGGCGCTAAAGCTACCATGAAGCCGCTAACCCGAAACTGTAACCCTTGTAGGATGCTACTTAGAGTCTTCAACCTCGAGGGGTTCAAGCGTGTCAAGCCTGGAAAATCGACAGAGCCCCTTGCTCGCATGTCGCATCGCAAGCGAAGTGGTTAGGGCTCGGACACTGTGTGCCATGTTAGCCTTGTGCGAGTGTGTGAGTCGAAATGGTTAGGGCTGGGGTTTGTGCGGGGTTTCGTTAATGTCAGGTTAATGTTCAGGGATATGCCAGGAAGTAGGGTGTGTAAATTATGGATGATCTAGATTGATATACACAACTTGTGTAAAACCTTTCTGACTACCTACCGACCGACCTACCCACCCACACATCGACCTACCTACCTACCTATTTACCGACCTATCTACCGACCTGCCTACTCACATACATATGTACATACACTTATTACAACTCGTAGTTATCTTGGACGCCCTTTGTTGTCTCCAGCTTGTGATTTGAGATGTCTTGACAAGGTGACCGAGTCTATGCTGTCTCACTCGTAGTTTTCTTCCTACGGCTGCAGCTTCGGAGGGTTTGAAGCCCAAACTTCAGATCTTTGTGAGCCGAGGTTCTGACAAACGAGCCTGACCTCAAGTTCACAGGCGTCCCAGGCGTCTGCTGAGTAGAAACATCTTTGCGACATGTGCGCAATCATATCTGACAGCGAGTGAGCAATGCCGTTTTGTGTGTGCTGTGTGCAATCTTGTTTCAGGTTGTTGAGCGAGTGCTGGCAAGAACTGCAGCGAACCCCCGACAGTTGGAACATGGATTGCGTATGATGTGTGTGTTGGATTTCCGAATTAATTAAAATTTAAGGGCAACTATGAGAATAATGATGTTCCAACTTTTTGACACTGGCTGTAAGTAGTTGTGGCATAGCTTTCACTGAGATGTCTTGCCGGGTGTCGCGATTGCCGTTTAATAAACGGGATGCCATGGTTACCTGTGTAGTTACACGACTTTCAACTGCGTGCATGCAGACCTTCCCGTCTCCAGGCCGAAACTACATGAAGGCGGTGCTCAGCGCCTTTGATGGTGTACTGGCTGCCGAAAAGGCGATAGGATTGGATGTCACCTCCCCTGAGTCTCGGCAGGAGGAGCTGGAAGATGTTTTTTTCTATACATGTATGTATATGCGTGTGTGTGTATATATATATATATCGACACCTAGGCTTGTATTTATATGTATATACATACCCATATCATATCATATCATATCGTATAATATCATCTCGTGTTTTACCACTCCACAATGTGTATACATATACATATATATATACACACATATAAACATGTAGATAAATGCATATATATATATACATGTAGATATGCATATGTATATGTATATATACATGTATTTGGATATATATATGTATGTGTATACACATACAGACATACACGCTAATCCTGTTTGTATTATGTACAAATAGGACTATGTCGATGTCGATGTATGTACACCTGCTTCTAGTTACGAGTGATCCTTCGCTTGTGTGCCTGCGTGCCTGTGAGGTTACATGCTGTAGTAATTGTAGTAGCAGCGGATATTAAACATATGAGTTGCTGTTCACATATACAGATCTACACATGTTTGTATATGTATATATATATATAGATGTGTATGTGTGTGTGCGTGGTATTGACGGGAAAACACGATGTGCAAGACCAATGTAAATACATGAACCATACAAACCATGTAACAACAAATTTGTGGTACACATGATGTTTCATAGATTTACAGCTTTACTTACATGATGTCTCATAAGTTTGAAGCTTTTAATTTATAGTGCGAACACACGCGTACATAATGTGTCAAATAGTCTACAACATACGCAGACAACCCACCAGGTATGTAGGACATGTAGCCCATATCGTGCATATAGTCTCTCTCTCGCTCTCTCTCTCTCTCTCTCTCTCTCTCTCTCTCTCTCTCTCTCTCTCCATACAAAAATACCGGTAGTATGTTCACAGACTATATGTGTATATACACACCATACATACATAAATAGTTATGCAGATGGAATCTGAAACAGATGTTTTCTGAACCCAGGCAGGCAGTCTTCAGTAGTTTGGGCCGTCGTTGTGAAGCCTTGCCTGCCTTGTGCGAGCGAGAGAACCGAAATTAACAGCAGAATATGTATGTATGTAGAGCACTACTGATGAAAAGCTGCAAATATTTTCCTCGATGACTAGTAACATGCAGAATGCTTGACCTATCGTATGATAAATGTGAGGATGTGTATATATGTATGTACATACCTGTACATTGCATGTATGCATAAAAATGAGAGTATATGTGCATTTTTGTATTGTATGTACGTGCGTATGTATGTACATGTGCATGGTGAAAGCCGGAAACATGTGTAGTTATGTATGTAAGTAACTGAAAAATAGGTTCGTATGCTGTTGCCTGTATATCATGCTACCTGTTGTGTGCGTATCTGTATGTATTACATATATACACATCCTGTAATATATGGTTAATCGAGATTTAAACTATACTTATAGTCCAGCGCAACATAACAAAATGTGAGACTGCATAATATGCCTAGTACATACTACAGCTACAGAAGATAAAGCATATAGTAGACAGGAGATAATGGCTAAAATATGTATGCGCAGTAGATACTTGACATGTCATATTATATGGTATGCGTCATCGGTTACGTTTTGTACAGCATGTACAATGTAGCACATAAAGTCGAACATACATCATGTAAGGATAATAGAAGACCCATTTTATATGCTGCACATATGCATATGCGTACACACACACACACTTCAAACATACAATATATGCGGAGAAAGGAAAGTAGAAAACCAAATTACAACTACTACGGTTTTTCATATGTATACATATGTATATATATATATACATAGTATATGCACACATTTACGCATATATGTAGATGTGTATGTGTATATACACATACATAGTGCAGGAGGTCAACGTTGGAGCGGAAGCACATGCACAAGCGCTGGTGACGTTCGGCCGGTCGGTCGTAAGTATAGAGGGCTGTCTGTGCACACAGGAATTACGAACGGATCGTCACAGCATTGATCTAGCAAAGACAAGTCGATGCGTGACTTGTATGTATCTGCATTCGGTACAGACAGATAGTTTGCTACAGCACACTTTCTCCGCTTTGGGTGGCATATGCCAGTAACTGAACGCGCCATGCAGCAAGGAGAACATCAAGTTCACGGCTGCTTTCTCCTACCAGGTATGCCCCAGGTGTAACCACATCCTGGAATTGAGGCAGGCCGCAGGTTGTAGGGGCTTGCAGCAACGGCCCCATGCCCAAAGGCCACAAAGTCCCGAGCGTCAGTCTCAAGACGAGCCTTGGCAACGGGACTCATCATTACCTTCATCGTTACCATTATCATCCTCATCACCATCTTTTGGCAGCAACATCGTCAGCAGCATGCTGACACACCATCGCCAGCACCAGCCGTATTGCACTGTTGTGCCACATCTTCTTCAGCATTTGGCAGCATGACCATCATCATCTTCAGTCTCATCTTCATAGTCAGCGTCATTACAATCGCCATGGACACCATCGTCACAATCATCATCATCATGTAGCATCATCACCACTGTAGTGCAGTTCGAGAAAGGTTTCAAGAGCTACCACACTCAGAATTTACAACAGAGCTATTATTTCCGCAAAAGCACAAAAATGCAGTCAGCTGTCCCGAAAGACCCATGATCAGAAGCGGCTTGCCGCAGCAACAGCAGCAGTAGCAGTATTGATTACTACTATAAGTACTAGTCGTCGTCGTGGTGACAGTACTAGAAATGGCAGTACCTAGGCAGTGGTGGTACTAGTAGTTGTTGTTGTTGCTGCTGTTGTTGTAGTAAATGTTGTGGTTGTTGTTGTAGTAGCAGCTGCAGCAGGAGCAGTGGTTGTAGTGCGAGCTGTATCAGTAGTTGTAGTAGTGGTGGCACAGTTGTTGTAGCAGCATTGTAGCAGTCGTAGTTCGACTACAGCTACGACGACGACTACCACTACTACTGCTACCTTTCCTACTCCTGCTTGCAGCTAGCACTTCCTTATTACTACTCTACTACCCCACTACTCAACACTACTAGCACTACCACCACCACCACCACTACCAGTACTACTACTACTACTACTACTACTTCTACTTCTATTGCTACTACTACTACTACTACTACTACTACTACTCCTACTGCTACTGCTACTGCTACTGCTACTAGCTGACACATCGGTTCGACAGCGCCAAGCATGGAGCTGTCAAACTGATCATCAACTTGGCCAGGTGGCCTCTTCTTTCGTGCGTTCTCCCGTTCTCAGGGCATCACGTTCTCTATAAAACTCCGAAGATAGCATCAGGCGAATCGCGGCCAGTGTCGGGCCGGCTGAACAGCCTGAAGGAAATCTGCTGTGTAAGCTGAACTGCGAAGCCCCTTGCGGCAGGTCCCTGGGATGTTGCATCAGTTGTGCTGCAACGAACACCTGTGGTTCCCTCGGACAAGTCGGCAAAGCGCAGGAGGACTGAGCATAAATGAGAAAGAGACTTACTAAAAGCTCGGATGCCGCGAGTCTGACCATATCTTTGCCTAACTTGATTTCCAAAGCCTGCAGCAGTCGGTGAAGTGTTGGTCTTGGAGATTTCGCAACTAGATAATGGGAAATCAACGTGTCAGTCAACTTGGCGGCATCCATCGCGGAAGTGGGTCGTCTATTGGCCGAACTGTGTCTCTTTGTCTGCAGTCCGTCAGGACGGGGGCATGAGATGCCCAAATGTGCGGAAGCCGTTCCATGCAGACGACTGCCCAGGAGAGCTGGGAACATGACATTTGTTGGAATGGCACTACGGGTATACTCAAGCGACTCCCGCGCTGTGTGGCCGTGTTTGCTTCTCATACCCAGGCTCCAGGCTATTTTGCTTCATCCGTTTTCCTGCTAACTCCTTTGGTACACAAACCCCCGTTGCTTGATTCTTCCGTCTCTCCAGCACTCTGATGCATCACATTGCCCCTCTATGATCTGTCGCTATGGTTTCCCTCCTCTCTGCGTGTGACGGTCTGTCTGCCTGGTTTCCTGTACTAGTATCTTATCTAGGTGGATGGTGCATCGTAAGCTGATGTCGGCTGAGACTTGCCGGCAAGACAGAACGAGGTTCCTTTTTCAAACTCGGCATGCCCCCGGAGGATTGCCCATGATACTGGATGTGCACAAGGCCATGGAGGATCCAAGCAGCGTGGGTCACTGGCTAGGGTATGCCCTGCACACCGGATGCTACGACTTTTTGTCTTGTCATCGGAACTTCCTGCCGTGGCTTCTCCCGAGGCTACTCCTTCAAGACCGAGGGCTGGGAGAAAGCCTTCGAGAATCGCTGGATACACTCTTTCAATGGCCCCCTGTCTGCACGAACCCACGGAGTTGTGAAACACTTCGTTAGATGTGGATGTTTGGGCCTAATTCCGCCCATATAGGTCCGCTGTTGTTTTGCTAGGTGACAGTCCCTTCGTTTCCTACTGTAGGGTAACTACGTGGATTCCGGAAGTCCAGAACAGAACACCCGTCGCAAGTCGTCTCTGGGGAGTGCAGAGCTTCTTCCTCGGTGAGACATCGCCCGGGCCTCCGAGCTCGGGCGCGCACTGCTCTTTGCAATCCGCCCTAGTCTCTTCGTCGATGATGCACGGGCGGTCTTTTGGTCCTTTGAAGTCCGGCATGGTCCGGCTTTTCGTTCTTCGACAAGTCTCGCGGTCTTCGATTCCCCGATGCTCGCGTCCTGTGCTCCTGGGGCATTGTATTTCTCGGTTCGTGACGCACGTCACGATCATGTACTTCCCGGTCCATATATGTTCAGTAATGTCAGATTCCTGCGCCTGTGGACGGTTCACGAGAACAGAAGTTTCTCAGAAAAAAAGTGTGAGAACAGCGGCAGCGGCAGCCTTGATTTGACAGATTGCCTTTGCAGCGCTTGTTTCGGACTTCGACAGCACGCATGACTGTATGTTATAACTGTACCAATTGCAAGTTCTCGAACAACAGGGTATTTCGCGCAGTCTGCGTAATATCGGCAGCACAGAACTACGGTAACGTATCGCAGTTGCACCACCTGAATGTACGTAAGCAAGCGCAGACAGCATTTATGTGCATTTATCGGATGCACACTCGGGTTGTAAAAATTCTTCGTCGCCCCATATTGATCCTCCGGACAGAAAAAAGAAGCTTGCCACCCCCAGAAACACAACGCCTCTCCGAAGGCTCCGGGGCTCAGCAGCACCGCAAGGAGATCGCAAATCCTTACACGGACAAAAGCCCCAACACGCTTTAGAAACTCCGACAAGAAACCGACCTCAACCCCTTGGGGGTCAGGTTTCGTGGGTGCTGATGCACTGGACCAGCAGTTCATACAGAAGTACTCAAAGTTGCCTTTCAACGTGAACAAGCCTGTGGACAAGATGATCAAGGCAGGTTTGGTGTTGTCCTAAACAGTTTGACCAGCAAATCCTAGCAGCACAGAGCCATGAAGTCGGTTGACATGGGAAAGTCGTGCATGCGATGTCGGCCAAACTACAGGAGTGTCTTTGATACTAATCTGTTCAAGCAACGTGTACTTGCCGACCCTGGATCAATAGCAGGTCTTCATGGGCGAGTATGGTGATCCAAACCTGGCAAGAAAACCAAATGACCTCAAAGTCGACTTGGACAAGGCACGTAGGTTGGTCGAGGACAAGACGAATGCTTTCGTTGCTTGCTAAGAATTGCTTCCTGGGGTGGAGACTTATTGACGGGATGTGTTGTCAACCACTGGTTCCAGCTTGTCTCTCAAAGAAGGTGTGTTTGTTTGGGAATTCGCAGCAGTGAAACAGATGCCGGCCTCCTGCGGCACCGTTTCTCACCGGAGACCTCGGAAAGCTATTTCGGTGTGCTTGAAAGGGGTTACCAAGAAACTTGAATCTGCACCGCTCACCCCTGCATGCCAGCGTGAAATGCTGTACGTTGTTTTTGCTGCATGATTCTACACCTCTCATAATTGGTCGACCCTGGGTAAGGTTGGCTTTAACTTCTTCCAGTACCAGGTGCCGTTGCGGTCGGCACAGGTGCAAGGTCGCAGGCTCGACTTGATATGGTGCGAAGTCGTTGGCGACCCAGCCGTCGCTTCGCATAGAAATGGCAATCCACGGGTATCACGAATCGTTGAGCCCAAGAAGCAAAACTCAAGTTGCCGGCTGCGGACATTAGTACCCTAATCTGTCCTTTCTTCTTCCCTGACAGGTCGCCTACTGGAAGCCATGCGAGGACAGCGACGGATCTACGCTCAATGTCAGTATGCTTGTTATACTTCTGAGGGGAGAGCAGTTCCGCACTCTCCGAAGCCCCGTGCCAACTGCCAAGGTTGGGATCGTTGGGAAGGGGAGGCTTGGGACAATCCTATGAGCAAACCTCTTCCACGTGGCTGCAATGAAAGGCTGGCTCAAGAAAGCGTTGTTTCGTGCTATCAAGCGGGCCAGTCGGATGATAGGGCATATAGCTTGTGGCATAATGCATATTGCTTTGGACACGGCTGGCAAGGCTCTATGGCACATTCTCGCTGGGAGACATACAGGTGCCTGTCCTGAATGACGAAGCTGAACTTGGGGTCTGCGTACGGGCAGGCCTTGCAGACTCTGCTAAGCACCTCGCAATTTCACCGAAAACCTGTTTATTTCCACGAGATTGCTTGCTCAAGCTGCAAGCCGAGGTCAGCAAGACAGGTGGCATTAACTACGACAGCCACAACGTGTACCCAATCCAGTGCGTCAAGCCCATCTTCCGAGGCAAGCCCCAGGCGCAGAGTCGGCATGTCAACACGTCCATAGTCCCGTGGGTCTAAAAGCCCCCCTCAAGGGATGCTTGCCAATGAACTGACGGGGTTGAAGCATGATATGGCCCTTGCGATCTAGAATGCATGGCATCTATTTGGCGATCCAGTCCTGGATGGCAGTGTCACCGAAACTATTCCCGCTGCAGCATATGATGGGGCCGTGACGACTTGTCGGGCTCAGTGCTTGTCAAGCTGTACTGAGCGTTGGAGCCATGCCGTAACGACGGTGCCAAAAAGCCAGTTGTCTCCTTCAAAAACAGTCTCTGCTCCAGCCTCCCTGTTCTGGCCCTGCTGTTGGCAGTTGGCCGGGCACAAGTGTAGCCTTGCAGGGTTGAGTGGTAGTGTAGCTTCTCACTCGTTGAATGGACCTTCGATGTTCAGAAGCCTCGCCTGCAGCATCTAAGTTGGCAAAGTCAGTACAGGGAGGTTGTTGCAACTGCATTGCTGCACGAGGCTATCGCTGATGCCTACGGTGGTTCTGCGCCAAACACGACAACTTGCGAAGCAGGTTGGGAGGCAAAGCCAAAGCAGCGACCTGTCTGAAGCTTGGGGGCCAGGCCGTATGAGTTGAGACCCGTAGCCTTGTCTTTGCCATGGACCCAGGATATCAAACATGTGTTGACTCTGTCATGTCAGGTACTGTGTCGCTTCCAGAGGACTCGGCATGCTTGGGCATGGTTGGGCAGCACATGCGCCACAATGAATTTTGAATACTACCTTTTCGATATCCGATATCAGTATACCACTTTAGATGAAGAATAAGAAGAAGAAGCTGATGATGATGATGATGATGATGCAAATGTAGATCTGGATCTGGATGCGCATGTAGATGTGGATGTGCTGGTGGTGGTGGCGGCGGTGGTGCTGGTGGTGGTGGTGGTGGTAGTAGTAGTAGCAGCAGCAGCAACAGGAGTAGTAGTAGTAGTAGTAGTAGCAGTAGTAGTAGTAGTAGTAGTAGTAATGTCACTGCTACTGCAACTGCTTCGACGACGAAGATTACGATGTTGACGCTTGCAAAAGTAGGGCCAAAATACCACCCACTGATTTCATCCTGCAGACACAACACAGCCACGAACACTAAGCTTGCACGGACACCAAGCATGTCCAAGGATCTTCTTTGGCAACGCGAGGAGACTCGGCCCCGAGCTACGTCGATTGCCCTCCCAAGAGGAGCACAGTTGATTGTAAACGGTTAACAGCTGGCAGCTTTGAATATGCGGCTCAAGGCTTTCAGCATCTCAAAGACTACCGGAATCGAGGCCTCCTAAACTCAATCATGTCATCTTGCCCTTGTAAACTCTGAACTAGTCGAGGCCATGAAAAATGGCTTGACATTCAGCAGGGTTGACGTATGGCGTGCGGCTGCAGAAGCTGTAGATATGCTTTGATGCGGGTTCTTTCGTTTACCTGGAAGGTCGGGGTAAAGAGAAGATGCACGGGAATGTCGGGAGTGTTGCGGTGTAGTGGCGCTGCTAGATCATGACAGTGGGCACAAGACGTCGAAGGCATATGTATATATACACATATATATATATATCACTGAGTCGTCCCAGAAGCGGAACACCTCAATCAGCCAGAACTCACCTCATCACGTGTTTTTCAACGACGGCGCACGTCTATACGAACCCTTGCATAACAAATCAAAGAAGTATGTGCCAGCTCATTCATGGTAATGAGTGAGCATGACGAAAAGACTGGCGCAAATGTGCACATGTGACATGTGCAGTTAAGCCCAGATATATGTACATATGTATATACAGAACATGGTTTCTGAAGCGTGTAGCCGTGATCCTTTCTGGTACTAGCTACTAGTGGATCTAAATTTCGCTGTCGCCTTGAAACTGATGCTGTGAATCTTTAGACCTCCGATGGCCAGAAGAGAAAAAAGTTCAGAAAAAGCCTTCATTGAGCCACACCGAACCCCAACACGCGTTACCCTGAAAGATTCCCTTGTAACGTCAGGCGGGTCCTTCGCGCTGTTCTTGCTGCGGGAGCTGCATCTGCTGCCGGACAAGTCGGTCTGGCAGTGGCGAAAGGAGTGGGAGGATACTTACAAAGACCCCAAGCCGGAAGACATCAGGGCGGAGATTTGTGGTTCTCGAGGGTACAACTGGCATGTAGAACGAATCCGAGGTTCGACATCGGCGTCACAACACAGTTCTTGCAACTACATGTCTTACCATGCTTACTTAAGCCATTTGGGCCTACCAAAAAACCAACCAAACACAAACGACCCAAGCTCTACAACCCTCTACACGAAAGCTTAGGGCAGGTCGAGCCTAACACAACAAAACCACAATGAGCGTTACCCTTCACGTTACAACTACAACAACTCCGACGAGGAACACTCCCACCACCACCATCACCAACACCACCACCACCGCGACGACGACTACTACTACTACTACGACGACAACAACGACTACCATACTACTACCACTACCACTACCACTACTGCTACCACTACCACTACTCTTACCAGTACCAGTACCCCCCTACCACTACCCATAGCCCTACCCCTACCCCTACCGCTACCAGTACCACTACCACCACTACCACGACTACCGCGACCACCACTAGTACTACTACTACCACAACAACAACAACAACAACAACTACTACTACTACTACTACTACTATTACTACTTCTCCTGCTGCTGCTGCTGGTACGAGTACGACTATCAGCACTTCCACTCGTAGAGTATCATGATATGACCATGGCCACTCAGATGATGCTGTTGCAGCTCGTCGCTCCTACAATGGACGATGTCAAATGTGGCTGCTCTTACTCTGCATTACTGACACCTGTATGCAGCTACTGAAGCTAGGCCGGCAATGATCATCGTGCTGCTTCTTCGGCGTTATGCTCTGTTCCTGTGCGTGCAACTACGCGGGATGCAACCTGAAGAGCATCGTTTAGACAATTGCTGGAACTCCACAGTTCTGGTCGCCTCCAACACCACCTGCTCCTCTGTCACATGCCGCAGTGGTAGTTGCCTGTGCTTCTAACAATAAGTTCTCAAAGGCATAAGAATTGGATCCACTTTTCACTACATGGGGCGTCAAGCGGCCCATCAGGCGTGGTTTGCCTGCTGGTGAATGGCAACTTAACTGCAAAGCGCCGCAGCGCCTGAGGAGCGAACAATACTACTTGTAGTCACTTGCTGTAAAGACAACTACTGAACAAGTGCAAGTGTTATTCATATGGACGGGCATGGAACCAGCAACCTGCAGAGTAGAGCTACTTCCGAAAGCACGCGGTCGGCCCAAGAAGCAGACGTTGCTAAGTTAAACTTCTTGGTTTGCGTCTAAAGCATCTCGAACAGTCAGCCGGCCGCTGAGGTGGCCAATCGACATGGTGACATGTCACGATCCCGGAAAACGTTGCAGCCGCCCTACATTGAACATTGAAGCCGCCGAACTCTATCTCTGACAGGCAACCTTTGGCGCATTGGCTTGCTTCCTTGCGAAGAGGTCCCAGCTTCGCCACCATGTGCTTGCGCCAGCCTGGGTAAGTGTCTGACAGTAAGGAACCATGGCCCTTTGCTCACCGCTGAGTTCCCTACACGGCCACAAAGAGACTCGAAGACTTCCGTACGAGCTTCGTGGTGAATACTGATCCGGCTTCAGCAAAGATGATAATGATATGCTAGCTTGCCGCTTCAGGCAGTGGCGCATCCTCAAACTCGAGCTTAGGAGGAACTGTGATTCACGTGTTACATCTGTCACTCACTACACAAATATGCACAGAGGGCCCAAACAGACCCTGCGAGGTTCTCCCGCGCACAGTACAGGTTGTTCGCACTAGGACGAGGATGCTTTGTTCCTCATTTGCATGACCTCGCCAAAGCATGCAGTCTTTGAGGGGGCGCTTCTCTGTTGCAATGCTACCCACCATGATAGCTCATGCGGAAGACTTCCCAGAGTGGAAGAGTAACACGAAGGATGACGCTGCCACTGTCGCTGCTGCTACTACTACTACGACGACGACGACGACTGACTAGGTACCACTACTACGACTCCTACGACTACGACTAGCACCTACTGCATGACACTGCGCGCACGACCAGGCCACAAGTTCTCGGAGCTGATCGTCTGCAACCCGGAGAGGTTGACGTCTCCAGTGGATGCCAGGTCGGTGGACAAAGAGCCCTGGATGCCCTGATGGGCAGGACGAAACACATCACAGCTGAATCTTGCTCCATTGATTCGCATGGGTATCGTGTAGCTCCGGGGACCGCTGTCCAATTTGCTATCCGAACAGCGACCTGCTTGCATAAATCAGGTTAAACATGTTAAACGATACGCTCGGTCAAGACGAGGCATGCACGCTTGGTTTTGGTTAGTTGCGTTCAACCAGGATTTTCTCCACTGTAGGGCACCCTACAGAGCTGGGACGCAAGTCAAGACATTTTTTTCAAAAGGGTGTGGACAGCAGCAGAGCCGGATGGGCAATAGGCAACAGTCGACACGCGGCTGGAACTCTGGAACTGTCGGGTCAGCGGCTGGTCAACGGGGGTGTCGGCGCACAGTCAGGCAGCTGGGACGGAGCGATGACGTGCCGGGTTCAACGAGGGCCAGTGGCATTTCAGGAGTTGCAACATCAAGTCGTTAGAGGAGTGGCGTGTTGTGGAGAACAGCAAGACAACTCCTGATACGACGGTGAGTTCCTCGAAAGCCTGCTCACGTGGGAGAAACGTCGCGTCTGTGACACATGCCGGAATCACCGGAAGAAGGCACAACAAGGAAGTCAACATCAAATATATTCTTCTTTTCCTTCACCATCACTTCACTATAATTAGCCTTCACCATCATCATCATCACCATCACCAAGGACGGCAACGTCGTCACCACAACCGCCGCCACCACCAGCAGCGCCGGGACCATCAGCACCAGCACGCACTGGCACCGGCACTAGCGTCACTAGCAGCAGCACCACCACCACCACCATCATCATCATCATCGTCATCGTCATCACCTTCTCTTCGTTGCCGTCATCGCCGTCGCGGCTGTCGGCGCCACCGTCGTCGTGATCGTCACGATGCTTGCCATCAGCATTGCACATACGCGCATGCAGCACTTCAACAGCAAAACAAGCACCGCAACAGAAAGTCAGAACCGCAAAACAGTCTTGGCAACACAGCACGCAATTCAAGGGACGGCTGGCACTGCAAATAGAAGCACAGTACTACAAACAACGAAGAGCTTTTCAAGCAGGAGCACAAGTCCAGGTGGCTTGACCATAGCAGTCTACTGCCAGGCACAACAACATGTGTAGTCAATTTCCTCCTGCCAGGGATCCTTGTTTCTTGACGAGTTCAACCTTTGCCGGGACCAACACAACATCAATACTAGTCCACAGTCAACCCGACTGCTTGCTGTTGTGAGCACGGCGGGCGCTGAGGTTGCAATCGCGACAGTGACAGCAATTTGTTGCAACGCCATGTTGGTGTTCGCCTGACCCGAATCCTGCACTAGTAACCAGAAACGTGAACATCAGCATTTTGGAACCAGCCCCATGCTACCATCCCACCGGCCCACAACACCTCAGATGGCTGTCAGGCAGTCAGGCAAGGCAGAATTTGTATATATTGCCGCCGGCCTGAGGGATATGGAGGGTCGTGGAGTTTTGATGTTCTGCAGCATGTTTTGGATTTGGAGACGGCTGCAAGTTCCTGAGTGGCTCTTAGAGGTTTCGGACCC